AAAAAAAAGAAAAAAAGAAGAAAGAAAAAAAACGAAATATTAATAATGGTCACGTACGTTTATACGCTTTGTAGCAATTTTCTTGGCTTGGTCACGTACCTTGATTGGGTAATGATCTTTGCTACCACTATGTCTTGCATCTCCATGATGTTCGAAACACCACGATACCGCGTAATGGAAGTCCCGGCATTGCAAATTGCGGAGTACGGTTTCGTGATTTTTATGAGTATCGAGTTAGCTCTAAAAATTCTGGCAGACGGACTATTTTTTACGCCGAAGGCCTATATCAAAGACGTCGCCTCAGTGTTGGATGTTTTTATTTATGTTGTACGTTGAACAAGGAAATCACTTCTGCTATTCGATATTCGATTAAATTATCAACGCTAATCCAGTGGGAATTTAGGTCAGCCTCGTGTTTCTATGTTGGATGCCGAAGAGCGTGCCGCCGAACTCCGGTGCGCAGCTTCTTATGATCTTACGTTGCGTTAGACCTCTGAGGATCTTCACTCTCGTGCCGCACATGAGGAAAGTTGTTTACGAATTATGTCGAGGATTCAAAGAGATCTTATTGGTAAATAATTCTAATTAAAAAGTTCACTCATGCTGTAACGCTCTCTCACGAATAGAATATTCGAATAGCCGTCCCTCGGCACCGAGTTCAGACAAAAAATGAATAAGAAGTTTTTTAGGTGTCCACTCTATTGATTTTACTGATGTTTATATTCGCGAGTTATGGTGTACAGCTTTACGGTGGTAGATTAGCTCGTTGCAACGATCCGACCATTCTAAAGCGAGAAGATTGCGTTGGAGTGTTCATGAGGAGAGTTTTCGTGACGAAAATGAAGTTGAAGCCAGGCGAGAATGAAAGCTATCCATCGATACTGGTGCCGCGCGTATGGTAGGATTACTAAAAAAAAAAAAAAAATGGAGAAATTTTACAATTTAAAATGAAAGTGATCTTGTAGCAACGAGCTTTTAAGCAAAACGTCAAAACTTTCTAGGGCTAATCCTAGAAGATTTAATTTCGACAATATCGGAGACGCACTGATGGCACTTTTCGAAGTACTGTCTTTTAAAGGGTGGCTCGACGTTAGAGACGTTCTTATCAAAGCTCTTGGTCCCGTAAGTTACCAATCACGTCACGACCTTGGTCCCTCCATGATACAATGATCAATTTTTAGGTCCATGCTGTTTATATTCACATTTATATTTTCTTGGGCTGTATGATTGGTTTAACGCTGTTCGTCGGTGTCGTTATTGCTAATTATTCTGAAAACAAAGGAACTGCACTACTCACAGTCGATCAAAGACGATGGTAAAACGATTTGATTAATTAACGAGCTATTAAGTGGCACGTCCCAATGTTCTAAACAAGTGTTTTATTATCATTTGAATAGGTGTGATTTGAAAAAACGACTGAAAATCGCACAACCGTTACATTTACCACCTAGGCCAGATGGAAAGAAATTCCGTGCGTTTATCTATGACATCACTCAAAATATCTATTTCAAAAGATTCATCGCAGTCATGGTGCTCATAAACAGTGCTCTTCTGTGTGTCTCTGTGAGTTTCATAATTTTCGTTCCTCTTTCCCCCCCCCCCCCCCCGCCCACATACTACAGTACTTACAACACACAAAAACACGGCAACACCGTTTTTTTTTTTATAAAATTAAATTCAACAAACTC